TTTTTTTTTTTTTTTTTTTTTTTTTTTTTTTTTTTTTTTTTTTTTTTTTTTTTTTTTTTTTTTTTTTTTTTTTTTTTTTTTTTTTTTTTTTTTTTTTTTTTTTTTTTTTTTTTTTTTTTTTTTTTTTTTTTTTTTTTTTTTTTTTTTTTTTTTTTTTTTTTTTTTTTTTTTTTTTTTTTTTTTTTTTTTTTTTTTTTTTTTTTTTTTTTTTTTTTTTTTTTTTTTTTTTTTTTTTTTTTTTTTTTTTTTTTTTTTTTTTTTTTTTTTTTTTTTTTTTTTTTTTTTTTTTTTTTTTTTTTTTTTTTTTTTTTTTTTTTTTTTTTTTTTTTTTTTTTTTTTTTTTTTTTTTTTTTTTTTTTTTTTTTTTTTTTTTTTTTTTTTTTTTTTTTTTTTTTTTTTTTTTTTTTTTTTTTTTTTTTTTTTTTTTTTTTTTTTTTTTTTTTTTTTTTTTTTTTTTTTTTTTTTTTTTTTTTTTTTTTTTTTTTTTTTTTTTTTTTTTTTTTTTTTTTTTTTTTTTTTTTTTTTTTTTTTTTTTTTTTTTTTTTTTTTTTTTTTTTTTTTTTTTTTTTTTTTTTTTTTTTTTTTTTTTTTTTTTTTTTTTTTTTTTTTTTTTTTTTTTTTTTTTTTTTTTTTTTTTTTTTTTTTTTTTTTTTTTTTTTTTTTTTTTTTTTTTTTTTTTTTTTTTTTTTTTTTTTTTTTTTTTTTTTTTTTTTTTTTTTTTTTTTTTTTTTTTTTTTTTTTTTTTTTTTTTTTTTTTTTTTTTTTTTTTTTTTTTTTTTTTTTTTTTTTTTTTTTTTTTTTTTTTTTTTTTTTTTTTTTTTTTTTTTTTTTTTTTTTTTTTTTTTTTTTTTTTTTTTTTTTTTTTTTTTTTTTTTTTTTTTTTTTTTTTTTTTTTTTTTTTTTTTTTTTTTTTTTTTTTTTTTTTTTTTTTTTTTTTTTTTTTTTTTTTTTTTTTTTTTTTTTTTTTTTTTTTTTTTTTTTTTTTTTTTTTTTTTTTTTTTTTTTTTTTTTTTTTTTTTTTTTTTTTTTTTTTTTTTTTTTTTTTTTTTTTTTTTTTTTTTTTTTTTTTTTTTTTTTTTTTTTTTTTTTTTTTTTTTTTTTTTTTTTTTTTTTTTTTTTTTTTTTTTTTTTTTTTTTTTTTTTTTTTTTTTTTTTTTTTTTTTTTTTTTTTTTTTTTTTTTTTTTTTTTTTTTTTTTTTTTTTTTTTTTTTTTTTTTTTTTTTTTTTTTTTTTTTTTTTTTTTTTTTTTTTTTTTTTTTTTTTTTTTTTTTTTTTTTTTTTTTTTTTTTTTTTTTTTTTTTTTTTTTTTTTTTTTTTTTTTTTTTTTTTTTTTTTTTTTTTTTTTTTTTTTTTTTTTTTTTTTTTTTTTTTTTTTTTTTTTTTTTTTTTTTTTTTTTTTTTTTTTTTTTTTTTTTTTTTTTTTTTTTTTTTTTTTTTTTTTTTTTTTTTTTTTTTTTTTTTTTTTTTTTTTTTTTTTTTTTTTTTTTTTTTTTTTTTTTTTTTTTTTTTTTTTTTTTTTTTTTTTTTTTTTTTTTTTTTTTTTTTTTTTTTTTTTTTTTTTTTTTTTTTTTTTTTTTTTTTTTTTTTTTTTTTTTTTTTTTTTTTTTTTTTTTTTTTTTTTTTTTTTTTTTTTTTTTTTTTTTTTTTTTTTTTTTTTTTTTTTTTTTTTTTTTTTTTTTTTTTTTTTTTTTTTTTTTTTTTTTTTTTTTTTTTTTTTTTTTTTTTTTTTTTTTTTTTTTTTTTTTTTTTTTTTTTTTTTTTTTTTTTTTTTTTTTTTTTTTTTTTTTTTTTTTTTTTTTTTTTTTTTTTTTTTTTTTTTTTTTTTTTTTTTTTTTTTTTTTTTTTTTTTTTTTTTTTTTTTTTTTTTTTTTTTTTTTTTTTTTTTTTTTTTTTTTTTTTTTTTTTTTTTTTTTTTTTTTTTTTTTTTTTTTTTTTTTTTTTTTTTTTTTTTTTTTTTTTTTTTTTTTTTTTTTTTTTTTTTTTTTTTTTTTTTTTTTTTTTTTTTTTTTTTTTTTTTTTTTTTTTTTTTTTTTTTTTTTTTTTTTTTTTTTTTTTTTTTTTTTTTTTTTTTTTTTTTTTTTTTTTTTTTTTTTTTTTTTTTTTTTTTTTTTTTTTTTTTTTTTTTTTTTTTTTTTTTTTTTTTTTTTTTTTTTTTTTTTTTTTTTTTTTTTTTTTTTTTTTTTTTTTTTTTTTTTTTTTTTTTTTTTTTTTTTTTTTTTTTTTTTTTTTTTTTTTTTTTTTTTTTTTTTTTTTTTTGCTTATTCTAATACACGATTCTCTCATTACTTCGCATCTTTTGAAAACTTTCCATACTATTTGTATTGAATTAAAAACTCCAGTCATTTTTTAAAGCTGTTCTTCATTATTGATCTCATGCCGACAAAGTAAATTTTTCATATTACTCGAAATATATGTTTTTTTTTTAAATTTAATTTTGCTAAAACTTTTCACGTACATTTAGAACGGTTCGTTTTCAAACCTGTTTATTTCTTCTGTTCATATTAATTCTTTTAAGACATGATAAACCTTTTACCACTCTTTGAAATATTATTTTTTTTTTATAAGTTTAATGATTTAATTGTAGCAGGAACATCGACTGAGTATATAAAATACTATGAGTAAAAAGTGCTTCTTTAATATTTTTCATTGAAATGATCTTTTAAAATACAAATATAGAGCCTATATTTAAAAATATATTAAATTTGCTTAAAAGTCAACTTTTTTCCTGAATACTACACATTCTAAGTTACTACTAGCACGATTTTGTTTATCCAATTTGAAGGTTAATAACTCCTGTGATTTTTGTTGAAAATTTTTGAAACTTTGCAGGAATGTTTGTATATTAGGTAGATTGATGCTATTAAATTTTGGTAATTAAAGGTAGAGGGGACGGGGCGATGTAGGGATGTCGCGTGTCATATCTCGAGTAGAGTCAGACTTAATGAAGATTTTACTCGTTATTAGCATTTGCAATTCTTTATAAAACTCTACCTCAAAATTAAACTTTTTGCCATTTTATAATAATTAAAAATATAAAAAGTTTTTAAAAGAAAATATCCTAATAGATGGCACCACACGTAAATGTTGTAGGAAAAGTTACACAACTCGTTGCTGGATTTTTTAAATCTGTATTATGAGTCCCGTCACTTAAACTTAGAACTTTTTATATTAATTGCTATCCAATCTTTGGCTACATACGACATAGGACGAAAAATCTAACTTGTTTTTCCCCCAAAAATATAAAAAAAAGTACACAACTATGCATTGTCCGGTATTCCTCTGATACTTATTATAAACATTTCCTGAAATAAAAAATCTTCCAAAAACAAGTTGATTTTTTGGCTGATTTTACAAGTTTTCAACTGCACAAAACATGGACGAAAACTCGCGAGCGTAACAATACATGTCAATACTATGTGGCTGATTAGAATCATGACGCGACATAACAGTGTTGTCAACCTTATATTTTTAAAATATTTCATATCCGGCTTTACCAAGTGTCCGGGATTTCTTCAGTCTCCCCAAATATCCATTTGAATTTGTGAAAATATAAACCAGATGTCATCTCCATTTAAATTTGTGAAAATCTAGACCAGATGTAGACCAAATCTAGACCATATCTCCCTCAGCAGTAGACATCTCATCATCTGATTTCACACAGTGGATCACAGTGGGAACCAATTATTATGCATCCAACAGTTTATACAATTTTGAGGTTCTCGTAGTTTTAAGCAATTTTGAGGTTCTCGGCCCAATTACTTTAGAAACACTTTATAGATACAGATATAGAACAAAAATATTAGTAATAAATAATGAGATGAGATCCCTAACGTGAAGATATGTAAAATTGTTTGTGGCACCATCTATTATGAGATTTTATTATTAAAAAAACTTTTAATACTGTACTATCAATTATTATAAAATGGCAAAACGCTTAATTTTTAGGGTAGAGATGAGTTTTATAAAAACAAATTGTAAATGCTAATAATGAGTAAAATCTCTATAAGTCCGATCACTCTTAAGATATGATACATAACTCCTTTCTATCTTTCCGCCCCTTGACCTTTAACTAAAATTTAATAGCGTCAACGACCCTTACACACAAGCTACCATGCCGAATTTCGATTTTTAATCATTACACCATCCTGAGATATTACACAAAATAGACATTAACACACACACACACACACACACGCACACACACACATACATACATACATACATACAAACGTACTGTGCAGTACATACATATCCATGGAATTTTTTGTTTTCGTTTTTTGACATTTTTTGGTTAAGGAGGTCTCAAAACATGGAGATTTGCAAAAATCTCTGAGGATCAAATTTAATACGATTACAGTACTTTCTCTTGTTATGTATACATAATAGCCAGAAAAGTAAAAGTTGACAAAATAAAGAATAGTGTATTATTGAAATACTTTAAAACTAAGATGAATTCTATTTTTAAAAAGAAAAAGTGACAATATAAAAAATAAAATTCCACTGTAAAGCTATAAGTGTAATATATTTTTAAACAATAGTTTTTATTAGCAATACTTACGTGTGAATCATTTTTTGGAAGCTGAGTGATGAACGGATGATCCAATAATTCGATGGAATACGGACGAAAATCGAAATATACTGTTAAACATCTAAAAATATTCGTTAAATATTATGAATATTAATTGTACCTTATATTTACTTTTACAGAAATACAGTATAATTTGCACTTCACATATTTAAAGATTCCTTAATAATCAACAGCTGTATAATATTTTTCCAAACATGTCTTGATATCTCATAAAATTTATTATTATTCATAGTTTTTGTCATAGAATCCGATTTATATTGAGTAAATTCATTTTCTAGTCTTAGTTTGGTAAATTCATTTTTTATTTTACTGTATCATTTCTTATCTTTGTTTGTTGAATTTGATTTTTAAATTCTATAATTTCGTATTGAATTANCATACGACAATTAATTTCGATCAATAATATATAAATTTAATACAGACGATTATTTGTAATGTAACAGGTTACCTGCTGGCAAAATTGCACCAAGTACGTTGCTTTAGCCATTCTATAATTTTGAAGAACTTGAAAAATAGATTTTAATCTCCATCTTTTGTAGTAATATTGAATAATTCGAGCTGCTTTATGATCAACTGCATCTTCTAATTAGCAATAAATTTATAGAGTTACTGAAATATATTTTTACTAATAAATAATATGTTGTATAATAAATATTTAATTTACTATTTGCCATTTCATACAATAAATTCTATTTTATAAATCAGATAATAATTATTTGCAACAATTTAATTCTTTTTTCTTACAGGAATTTCTAATAGATTTTTTTAAGATTGAGAAAAACCTTTGACTTTTTCGACAGTTTCTTCTTTTTCATCTTTGATTTGTGTTTCATTTTTCTCGTCTTCATTATTTTCTTCTTTGGTTTCATTCCGATCACATTCCTCCTTCTTTTCGATATAAGATTTTTTCTCCATTCTTAGATGATGTTTACAGACAGTCAGAAATCTTCTCATTGCTGCTTGCACTTTGATAATTTTACGTATTTCGTTCTCATAGAGCCGGGATAAATATTGAACGTGATAATATTTTAAGAAAACCTACCAAAGGTTTATCAAATAATTATTCAACGTAACTATAATAACGTGCCCCTTAATATATTTATCAAATTGATTACCTTCGACTTGCCAATATGCCATCCGTCCAGCTTGAGACGGAGAAGGCACAGTTTGCAATTATTTGCAGTTACATCGACAGTTTCGTTAAAATCGAAGGCTAGGTATTGATATCTAAAGCATTCATTCATTTATTGAGTTATTCATAAAATAATTATTTAATAATGTAACATCGCAGCATACCTTTTTAAAAAGTCTTCGAAAGATATTCTATGAGAGAAACCTCTCATTCTTAGACGACCTAAATCGTTAATGTTGAACATGTCTAATTGTTTCGAAACTTTCGTTTCTTCGAAGCAATTTTCTGCACCATTTTTATTTGAACGTAGGCAGAAAATAAAATGAGGATCGCCTTCTACTAAATGTTTCATCATGACCGATAAATTCTGGCGCACAATTAATACTGATGATGCTAAAGCTAGTTTTTCTTGGCTGATACAACCAATAGACATTAAACCCTAAATAAAAAAAAATGCATCATATTATACAGTACTATTTGTCACTCCTTTCAGATTCGATAACAGTAAAGATCATTAATATAATTTTTAGATAGCCTACAATGAAAAAATAAGTCAACTTGACAGAATACAAAAAAGAAAGATGAAAGAAAATAATGCTAAAGTACATTTTAAAAAAAGACCTTGATGAAGAAGGAACTAACCGTTCTGCATTTTTTTCCAGCGAGCCGTTTCTGTTCGTCTAACATCGCATCTTTTAACTGACCTTAAAAAGATAATCGCAGCCATTTAATTTTATGTAATTAAGACGCTAAAGTGGCTTCATAATTTAAATTATGAAGTTATAAAATTGATGAAAACATAAACATATACTTGTTAAAAAAATAAATTTTTCTTTTAACTTGCGACTACCTGTTTTAGTCAAAGGAGACGAAAACATGTTCTTAATTAACGTCATTCTAGACGATGCTAAAGTACTGATAACTTCTTCAGATAGGCATTTCGAACATTTAATTAATTCTTTCAAATCGTAAGTAATTTTTTCATTTGTATGATTAACGAGAATTTTATAGTCATCTTCGATCCGCATGTGTTCTTTCTGAACCGAACTAAGGATATCAATCAAGCGATCTGTTAAAAATGTCAAATGAATATTTACAGAATATATCCTATTACCAACATTTCGTAATATTTATTTAATTTCAAAAACCTTTACAGGTACTTCCGTGACGGCACGCAATATGCAAAGCTTGTAATAATCCATCGGTTCGTGATAGAAAAGTATCTAAAACTTCTCTACCATCGTTTACTTGAATATATGGCAAAGTGACTTCTTCTTCTTTACATTCTTCCTATAAATATATTAAAATTACAACTTATATAACTAGTTATTTATAATCTATAGCAAAAATATTGATTTAAGAATAGATAATATACACGCTTACCTGTTCCCAGGTAAAAGTATATTTCTTATAAAAATAATTAACTTGTTCGAAACATAAATTGTGCCACAATTGCTGAGACTCGTTCGAATCTTGATTTTCCAGTCCAAAAAAGTCTATAATGGCAATAGAATAAACGTCTCCACTAAAAATACATTAATAAAGAAAAATTTCGTAAAATTTAAATAATCCAAATTTAAAGAATAGATCGAAAACGACTTACTATATCATTCTACAAAACGATAATTTCTTATTAATCTCATTAATAACCCAGTCAAATAGTCTAGAGTAAATTAATTTAGCCAAAGAGTCTCTACAACGCTCAGACATTTCTATAGTAGAATTTAAATTTCCACTGACATCCTGACACGTAACTATTCTTCTCAAATGATAGGCTTTAATGCCAAGAAAATCGGCAACTGTATTAAATCAACATCAATTATTATAATTAAATAATAATAATAGTATAGATCAAAAGGATAATATATAATTAAAGAATTAAATTCATTTATTTATGCTATTCTTACAAATTTTAAACTGGTTTATTTCTTTATATGTACGCCTACGAGTACTTTTTAAATGTTAATTTTGAATATTTATATAAAATATAACAAAAAATGTGTATAAAATTGTCAAAACTATAGAGAATTAAAGAAAAACACGAGTAGTAATAAACTTACTATTTTCTAAAATCGGTTTATTGCTAACTTTAATTACATTTCCAACTTGCATAAATTCTATATCTCCTATCAGAATAATGGCTGCTATACAATCAACAATCATCAGGATATCCTTTAAAATATTCATAAAAATCGTATAAAAATTTAAAAACGTTATTCGTCTTTTGTCTTTTGATAAATTTACCCACCTCGTCCGTGAATGTTAATATTTTAAGACTTTCCTTCAATTTTTCATACATTTGCAAAGAATTTACTGGAAATGATGTATTTAAATATCTGTGTTTTACGGCATCTTCGCTTAAGCCGTATTGTTGTAACTTTCCTTCGTGTTTTAAGCCTTCGTATACGTAATAAAATATATGATAATTGCTATAATTCCTATAAAAAATGTATTCTCGGTGAATTGACGCAATGATTTTATCATTATTTGCTTTGAAAAATCACATAATATAAATTGTACCTCTTACAACAGACAACGATTTCAGTTTCCAAAAGGTAAGGAGACAAAATGGCTGTATAAAAATTAAAATTAAAAATAATTTATTATTAACTATATTTTTTAACATAATAATAATATATTCAATTATTTACCTGACGTTACTTTTCCCATATTGCTAAACGTCATTTCTAAATGTAAAGAGAATCTATACGAATCGTTCGAAGGTGTTGTACAGCATCCAAATGCTTTCATTATTGGGAAGATTTGAAGCAATTTATCATTTATACCACTTTTTGTGTTCTGAAAGTTAAGTTTCCAAAGAAATTAATAAATATCTCTGATGAAAATTTATTATAATATCTAAAATTTATTTGGGGAAGTCTAGAAGCCCCTATGACTTATAAAAACCCCACAAATAAGGGCCTTTTATGGGTTCTGAATTCCCACAATGGTGTGACTGTGACCGGATGGTCCCACATATCCGGAACTTACAGCCATAAAAAATTCCTAGGCGACTCGCCCGAATTCGATCTCGGTCCCTTAAACTGATAAACCGAAGCTTTAACCGCCTTTTTAAAAAATTCAATAATGATTAAAACTTTAACATAAAATTTTAAAATTCATTGACAGATGGCACCACTAAATTTGTTTTCCATGACTGGCACTATTATATATTTTAAAAATATAATGTAAATCAATCATTAGCTTTACTAAAATTAACTAATTAGAAAGTCAATTAGTGTTTAGCTTAGCAAATTAACTTACAGAGCCTAAATAAATAAGATGATTAAAGAGTTGTTCAGCTGCTGTTGATTTTCCACTTTCCGATTCTCCCATCAAAAGAATGGTCTGCAGGATAAAATTTTTTAAGACAATAATAACTTTTAAAAATAATAAAGAAAATTTTAAAGCAGTGCCTGTAATTTTTTATGGTGCAGCAAATCTTGATACGTTTGATCTGCCATTGCGTAGAGATGAGGAGAATTATCGATAAATGCTTTTTCCTGGTATTTCTTGTGATAAATCTGGAGAAATTTTAAACCGTTATTAATTCCGATAACTATTTTTGAAGTAAACTAAGCGATTTTACTTACCTCATCATCATAAATTTCATTCATTTTATATGGATTAACAAAAATTAACATTTCTCCGATATACGTGTAAATCTGATCTTTTAAAAATCGATTTTTTAATAATTCTAGTACGCTTGCCTAAATCACAATAGTTACTCATTAATTTGTTATTTTTTAAATATATAGATTCAAGTATTTTTAATAGCAATTTAAAAAATAAATACTTGATTAATATTATCCAGGGACACAACATCATCGGGAAGATATACTTGAAGATCTTTTTGACTATCGGTTCTTAATTTATCTCCGATGACGATAATATGATCGGCTTTATATAACATTTCTTCGTCTTTATGAACTTCACACAAAATTTTCAACTCTGTAGCGATCTATAATATTAATTTATTCAAGAATATCATAGAATAAAGTATGGATTCTTCGTAGCAATAAAGCAACAGTGAATAGCTCTCAATTAAGCAATTTCTATTCAAATTGAGTATTTTAAAATTCACAAAGAAAGATTTTGGCCTAAATAAAATTCTCAAAAGAAAAACAAAATCTATATTGCTATATTTTAAACAGAGCAAATCTTTACCATCGAGTTTTAAAACAACGTATACAAAAAAAATCAACGAATTAGTATTTTTACTGTTGTTATATTAAAATTTATTTATTGAACAACTCGTCTGTATTTATTTCCATGTTTATTATTACATAAAATATAGAAATTTTGTCAATTATTTCACGCTATTTCAGATAAACAAGGTGGAAGAAAACATAAAAGAATAATGAGATGATAATTGTAATTCCACGTTAATGATTAATAACTTGCACATCAATCTTTAGTATTTCGTAAACAGAGTGAATTCTTATTTCCAGAAGTCACCAAGTTTTCTAGTGAATAACACCAGAAGCTACTAATAAATGATCTTTGCAACAAGTTGTCGATACATAGATTCGACCTTGAATTTTCTTCTTCACTGCCATCAATTATATTAGATGTTAGCGAGAGACTCAGGAAACGACAATTTTGATGGTATTCTTTACATTGTTAAAATTTCTTTCAGCTATAGCCTAAATATTAATAACGTATAAATAAATCTCTCTAATAAAAGAAAATCTATCAAAATTAGTCTTTTTAAAAAATAAAAACTGGTATTTTGATGTTCTAAAAAACAAAATTCCAAATGTTACCCCAAGATCTTACCCTCAAGAATAAAATCTTTTATAAAAATATATAAGTCTATATATAATTATCTAATTTTATGAATGCCATTATATTGAATATTCACATAAATAAATCCTATAAAAGTTTTATGATATCGTGAAGGTTAAGCAGATAAATTAAGGACATACGCCTATAATTAATTAAATATGAAACTGGCGACAATATATTATAGTTTCATTTTTCGATAGTCTTGTTATAGTTTATAAAAATTTATCTTCAACGAATAATATTAATTTAAAATAAAGTTTAATAATTTGTTTATTCATCTGAAGGGGAAAAATCGTATATTCATTTACAATGCAAATTTCTTATTAAACATGAATAATTAATTAAAATTTTCAAACTTTTAAAGCTGATAATGTTAAACAAAATATTCCCAATTAATACACTATTTATATGATAATTAATATACTAATTACTTTGATTACTAATTGATATATTAATATACTAATTATGAGGAATGTTTCAAATTACATTCAAAATAATATAAAGAAAAATGACATGATAATTGATATTTCTCACTAATGAAGTTAAAAATAATTAATATAAATTATTATGTTAATTTAATATTCAGATTAATTAGATTTGAATTAATTAATTTCTTTAGTAAAGAATATTCGAAACTATTATTTTTGATATAATGGCAGAAGTCCAAATTAGAAGACAAATTATATTCTTAAGTCCGAAGCATCAAAATATTTTAAAACTAACAAGTAAGAGGAGAAATGTATACAGTAAAACCTGTCTAAAACGTAAGCTGAATAAAACGAAAACCTGCCTAAACAGAAAAAACTTAGAAACAGAATTTTTTTTTTGTAAGGAAAAGGTAAAATAAGTAAAATTGCCTCCACACATGGCATGACTAACTGTATTCAGAGAATGATTTCGAACGTTTTCAAAGCGAAGGTCACGTGACGAGGGGACATACGGACATACGGTCTTTGTTAATGTCAGTCTTTGTTAGAACTTCAACTTAACCAAAAGCAGGAACTTTTGTGAATCGAAAACAAGCAACAAATGTACGATAATTATTTGAGAACAACGAGAATAAGGTAACACAGTATTACTAATTTGCCTCATATGGAGTAGTTAGTAACTAACTAGTACAGAGTATTCGAAAACAAATTGATTAAAATGTTTGATTATTAGAAAAATTGTATTTAATAATTAACTAGACATTAAAACTTCCCGAGAAGTCAGATCATAAAATAACTTGATCTCTATATTACTGTCATTCGATTAGTGATAGAATTCTTTCTAGGTTCTCGAATTGAATTGTTCGTTATCTTTAAGTCCAAGGATCACAGCAGAGAAATTTTCCAATATGCGAATATTTTACATTAGTTTTCGAGAACAATTTAAACTGTTTTTGAAGAGAGTAGTTTCGATTCTTGTATTCGAATACTTGGAATCACTTTGGATTAAATCTACTACTGCAATAACATTTTATACCTATGTAGAAGTGATTTTAGTTTAAAAATAACCGTGATTATGCGCCATTTCTCTGGAGCAGTTTAAAAATAGAAAAGAAATATTAAAACCTGTTCAAAACGGAAACTTGCCGAAACAGAAAAAATAATAGCTTACGACAGAGCAGTTAAATAAATATTTATCGTAAATAAAAATGCAGAAGCATTTGAATTTTTGAAAAAATATACTAAATGTTACGGTGTTCAAAATGTTTCTTTTTTTTTTTTTTTTTTTGCTTATTCTAATACACGATTCTCTCATTACTTCGCATCTTTTGAAAACTTTCCATACTATTTGTATTGAATTAAAAACTCCAGTCATTTTTTAAAGCTGTTCTTCATTATTGATCTCATGCCGACAAAGTAAATTTTTCATATTACTCGAAATATATGTTTTTTTTTTAAATTTAATTTTGCTAAAACTTTTCACGTACATTTAGAACGGTTCGTTTTCAAACCTGTTTATTTCTTCTGTTCATATTAATTCTTTTAAGACATGATAAACCTTTTACCACTCTTTGAAATATTATTTTTTTTTTATAAGTTTAATGATTTAATTGTAGCAGGAACATCGACTGAGTATATAAAATACTATGAGTAAAAAGTGCTTCTTTAATATTTTTCATTGAAATGATCTTTTAAAATACAAATATAGAGCCTATATTTAAAAATATATTAAATTTGCTTAAAAGTCAACTTTTTTCCTGAATACTACACATTCTAAGTTACTACTAGCACGATTTTGTTTATCCAATTTGAAGGTTAATAACTCCTGTGATTTTTGTTGAAAATTTTTGAAACTTTGCAGGAATGTTTGTATATTAGGTAGATTGATGCTATTAAATTTTGGTAATTAAAGGTAGAGGGGACGGGGCGATGTAGGGATGTCGCGTGTCATATCTCGAGTAGAGTCAGACTTAATGAAGATTTTACTCGTTATTAGCATTTGCAATTCTTTATAAAACTCTACCTCAAAATTAAACTTTTTGCCATTTTATAATAATTAAAAATATAAAAAGTTTTTAAAAGAAAATATCCTAATAGATGGCACCACACGTAAATGTTGTAGGAAAAGTTACACAACTCGTTGCTGGATTTTTTAAATCTGTATTATGAGTCCCGTCACTTAAACTTAGAACTTTTTATATTAATTGCTATCCAATCTTTGGCTACATACGACATAGGACGAAAAATCTAACTTGTTTTTCCCCCAAAAATATAAAAAAAAGTACACAACTATGCATTGTCCGGTATTCCTCTGATACTTATTATAAACATTTCCTGAAATAAAAAATCTTCCAAAAACAAGTTGATTTTTTGGCTGATTTTACAAGTTTTCAACTGCACAAAACATGGACGAAAACTCGCGAGCGTAACAATACATGTCAATACTATGTGGCTGATTAGAATCATGACGCGACATAACAGTGTTGTCAACCTTATATTTTTAAAATATTTCATATCCGGCTTTACCAAGTGTCCGGGATTTCTTCAGTCTCCCCAAATATCCATTTGAATTTGTGAAAATATAAACCAGATGTCATCTCCATTTAAATTTGTGAAAATCTAGACCAGATGTAGACCAAATCTAGACCATATCTCCCTCAGCAGTAGACATCTCATCATCTGATTTCACACAGTGGATCACAGTGGGAACCAATTATTATGCATCCAACAGTTTATACAATTTTGAGGTTCTCGTAGTTTTAAGCAATTTTGAGGTTCTCGGCCCAATTACTTTAGAAACACTTTATAGATACAGATATAGAACAAAAATATTAGTAATAAATAATGAGATGAGATCCCTAACGTGAAGATATGTAAAATTGTTTGTGGCACCATCTATTATGAGATTTTATTATTAAAAAAACTTTTAATACTGTACTATCAATTATTATAAAATGGCAAAACGCTTAATTTTTAGGGTAGAGATGAGTTTTATAAAAACAAATTGTAAATGCTAATAATGAGTAAAATCTCTATAAGTCCGATCACTCTTAAGATATGATACATAACTCCTTTCTATCTTTCCGCCCCTTGACCTTTAACTAAAATTTAATAGCGTCAACGACCCTTACACACAAGCTACCATGCCGAATTTCGATTTTTAATCATTACACCATCCTGAGATATTACACAAAATAGACATTAACACACACACACACACACACACGCACACACACACATACATACATACATACATACAAACGTACTGTACAGTACATACATATCCATGGAATTTTTTGTTTTCGTTTTTTGACATTTTTTGGTTAAGGAGGTCTCAAAACATGGAGATTTGCAAAAATCTCTGAGGATCAAATTTAATACGATTACAGTACTTTCTCTTGTTATGTATACATAATAGCCAGAAAAGTAAAAGTTGACAAAATAAAGAATAGTGTATTATTGAAATACTTTATAACTAAGATGAATTCTATTTTTAAAAAGAAAAAGTGACAATATAAAAAATAAAATTCCACTGTAAAGCTATAAGTGTAATATATTTTTAAACAATAGTTTTTATTAGCAATACTTACGTGTGAATCATTTTTTGGAAGCTGAGTGATGAACGGATGATCCAATAATTCGATGGAATACGGACGAAAATCGAAATATACTGTTAAACATCTAAAAATATTCGTTAAATATTATGAATATTAATTGTACCTTATATTTACTTTTACAGAAATACAGTATAATTTGCACTTCACATATTTAAAGATTCCTTAATAATCAACAGCTGTATAATATTTTTCCAAACATGTCTTGATATCTCATAAAATTTATTATTATTCATAGTTTTTCATATTTATCTTATGCTTAAATTCGTTAAGAAATATTTTAATATATAAATATAATTTATGCAATTCACAATCATTTAATAAATTAACCACTATGAATAGTTGGTATTATCAACAGGAGTTTGTACAATTTTACAGTACTTTGAAAAATTGTCTGTAATTATTATTATAATACATTAAAATATTGCTATCGTAATTAAATTCAGCTAGGTAATTAAATACAAAATAAACAATTAATTTTCAAGTTTCTCATTCAACTGTGCGATCAAAAAGAAATGGCATATACAATTTATAAGGAAATTCTTATTTTAATAAGACATTCAATGGTCAGTTGTAACATTAAATTCAATATAATTTATTCAATATATGTTCAATTAAATAGTAAGTTATTTATTTAATTATACATTGTTTTATTTAATTATGCATTGTTTTATTATAATTTCTTTTTCCTGTTAGCCGAATTTTTACCCGTATTCTTCCGGTTTATTGCATTGCCCTTTTTCAAGATCGTCCATCGTACAAAGATCTTTACCAATAGAACATTCCGATCAATTATCCAAATTAAGGAATTTTTATGTTTAAATTTTATTGCATACAAAAATACATGCAATAAACGTTTGTATCTAAACAAATGCATCGATTTTATCTGTTCATTTTTATTATGTGTTTGTTTTTCATTGGTAGACGAATTTCCTTGCCTGGCTTCATTGTTATATATAGCATTTTGTATTACAGATAAAATAAATAAATGATGCTCCATAATTTTGTATTTGTGTTTAATTAATAATAATTATTTGAATTTAGAAAAACAGCAAATATTTTTGATTGAATATCCAATTAATTGAAATATTGAATAGTTTAAAATGTGTAAAAAATCTTATTTTCTTATCAAATTTAGTTATAATTAGTGTCCGCCAGTGGCAGAAGGATAAAACTACTGAACACTGGCGTCTCTGGTCACATACGGTTTTTCCCAGTTTTCTTCACGTCTCTAACATCTAAACACGGGCCAGTTTCCCATAGAAAGCCTTCCCGGAAGGCTTCCCCATTTGCAGAACACTCATGTGTTGCGTTTATTTTCCCCATTAAACAATCCAATCCTAATTAATATTATAACTGTAGAACGATTAAATATTCATTATTTTGCAATGACTATATAATAAATGAAATATGTATAATTTTCGTTGATAGAAAATCCACTGATATCTAGATACAAAAAGTATTCCTTATTCGGTTAGATCGCATATTGATAAAATAGTGATAGTAATAAAAAATGTACTCGTCTTATCAATAATATTTAAATGATATCATAACATGCTTGAAAAACATTTTAATTATAAGCAGTTTAAACTTATATTTTAAAAACTATGCAAATAATCTTTACTATGACAGTCTTCTAATACATAGAGTAATCATGTTTACCTAGCAAATATTTAAATTCAATGTTTTTTAAAAATCTAATATATTTGTGTTTGCCCAATGATATAGCTACGAATCATGAATTCATAAATACGCTAATTCAATAAAATAAAATATCATAGAAATATTTGCAAAATACGCTTGTTATTAATATATTTATTGTTTTATATCTAAATTATTATAAATTATGACTACCAAATATGTCTTTTTATAAGAAATGTATTTATAAATATAGGGGAGACCGGGGCAACTTCGGCATGCGGGGCAAGTTTGTCAAGCGCTTTTTTAAAAAAACAAATTAAAAGGAGACTTTGGTTATAGGTTAGGCAGTTGAGTTTTATTGGTGGCTTGTTGAGTGTAGTGTTTTTATTGTTCTCNATTTTATATGGATTAACAAAAATTAACATTTCTCCGATATACGTGTAAATCTGATCTTTTAAAAATCGATTTTTTAATAATTCTAGTACGCTTGCCTAAATCACAATAGTTACTCATTAATTTGTTATTTTTTAAATATATAGATTCAAGTATTTTTAATAGCAATTTAAAAAATAAATACTTGATTAATATTATCCAGGGACACAACATCATCGGGAAGATATACTTGAAGATCTTTTTGACGATCGGTTCTTAATTTATCTCCGATGACGATAATATGATCGGCTTTATATAACATTTCTTCGTCTTTATGAACTTCACACAAAATTTTCAACTCTGTAGCGATCTATAATATTAATTTATTCAAGAATATCATAGAATAAAGTATGGATTCTTCGTAGCAATAAAGCAACAGTGAATAGCTCTCAATTAAGCAATTTCTATTCAAATTGAGTATTTTAAAATTCACAAAGAAAGATTTTGGCCTAAATAAAATTCTCAAAAGAAAAACAAAATCTATATTGCTATATTTTAAACAGAGCAAATCTTTACCATCGAGTTTTAAAACAACGTATACAAAAAAAATCAACGAATTAGTATTTTTACTGTTGTTATATTAAAATTTATTTATTGAACAACTCGTCTGTATTTATTTCCATGTTTATTATTACATAAAATATAGAAATTTTGTCAATTATTTCACGCTATTTCAGATAAACAAGGTGGAAGAAAACATAAAAGAATAATGAGATGATAATTGTAATTCCACGTTAATGATTAATAACTTGCACATCAATCTTTAGTATTTCGTAAACAGAGTGAATTCTTATTTCCAGAAGTCACCAAGTTTTCTAGTGAATAACACCAGAAGCTACTAATAAATGATCTTTGCAACAAGTTGTCGATACATAGATTCGACCTTGAATTTTCTTCTTCACTGCCATCAATTATATTAGATGTTAGCGAGAGACTCAGGAAACGACAATTTTGATGGTATTCTTTACATTGTTAAAATTTCTTTCAGCTATAGCCTAAATATTAATAACGTATAAATAAATCTCTCTAATAAAAGAAAATCTATCAAAATTAGTCTTTTTAAAAAATAAAAACTGGTATTTTGATGTTCTAAAAAACAAAATTCCAAATGTTACCCCAAGATCTTACCCTCAAGAATAAAATCTTTTATAAAAATATATAAGTCTATATATAATTATCTAATTTTATGAATGCCATTATATTGAATATTCACATAAATAAATCCTATAAAAGTTTTATGATATCGTGAAGGTTAAGCAGATAAATTAAGGACATACGCCTATAATTAATTAAATATGAAACTGGCGACAATATATTATAGTTTCATTTTTCGATAGTCTTGTTATAGTTTATAAAAATTTATCTTCAACGAATAATATTAATTTAAAATAAAGTTTAATAATTTGTTTATTCATCTGAAGGGGAAAAATCGTATATTCATTTACAATGCAAATTTCTTATTAAACATGAATAATTAATTAAAATTTTCAAACTTTTAAAGCTGATAATGTTAAACAAAATATTCCCAATTAATACACTATTTATATGATAATTAATATACTAATTACTTTGATTACTAATTGATATATTAATATACTAATTATGAGGAATGTTTCAAATTACATTCAAAATAATATAAAGAAAAATGACATGATAATTGATATTTCTCACTAATGAAGTTAAAAATAATTAATATAAATTATTATGTTAATTTAATATTCAGATTAATTAGATTTGAATTAATTAATTTCTTTAGTAAAGAATATTCGAAACTATTATTTTTGATATAATGGCAGAAGTCCAAATTAGAAGACAAATTATATTCTTAAGTCCGAAGCATCAAAATATTTTAAAACTAACAAGTAAGAGGAGAAATGTATACAGTAAAACCTGTCTAAAACGTAAGCTGAATAAAACGAAAACCTGCCTAAACAGAAAAAACTTAGAAACAGAATTTTTTTTTTGTAAGGAAAAGGTAAAATAAGTAAAATTGCCTCCACACATGGCATGACTAACTGTATTCAGAGAATGATTTCGAACGTTTTCAAAGCGAAGGTCACGTGACGAGGGGACATACGGACATACGGTCTTTGTTAATGTCAGTCTTTGTTAGAACTTCAACTTAACCAAAAGCAGGAACTTTTGTGAATCGAAAACAAGCAACAAATGTACGATAATTATTTGAGAACAACGAGAATAAGGTAACACAGTATTACTAATTTGCCTCATATGGAGTAGTTAGTAACTAACTAGTACAGAGTATTCGAAAACAAATTGATTAAAATGTTTGATTATTAGAAAAATTGTATTTAATAATTAACTAGACATTAAAACTTCCCGAGAAGTCAGATCATAAAATAACTTGATCTCTATATTACTGTCATTCGATTAGTGATAGAATTCTTTCTAGGTTCTCGAATTGAATTGTTCGTTATCTTTAAGTCCAAGGATCACAGCAGAGAAATTTTCCAATATGCGAATATTTTACATTAGTTTTCGAGAACAATTTAAACTGTTTTTGAAGAGAGTAGTTTCGATTCTTGTATTCGAATACTTGGAATCACTTTGGATTAAATCTACTACTGCAATAACATTTTATACCTATGTAGAAGTGATTTTAGTTTAAAAATAACCGTGATTATGCGCCATTTCTCTGGAGCAGTTTAAAAATAGAAAAGAAATATTAAAACCTGTTCAAAACGGAAACTTGCCGAAACAGAAAAAATAATAGCTTACGACAGAGCAGTTAAATAAATATTTATCGTAAATAAAAATGCAGAAGCATTTGAATTTTTGAAAAAATATACTAAATGTTACGGTGTTCAAAATGTTTCTTTTTTTTTTTTTTTTTTTAAAGTGGAAGTAAATTATCATCATCTTTAAAGAAAGATGTAGCGACTAAACACTTGCACTATTATTTCAACTTTGACTTCAACATATTGTTTCGAGCAGAGATGAAAAAAGTATAGTACCGAGGGAGGAACGTTTCAACCA